CATGGTGGCGCGTGCCTGTAATCCCAGCTACTCAGAAGGCTGAGACAGGAGAATTGCCTGAACCCAGGAGGCGGAGGTTGTGGTGAGTCGAGATTGCGCCATTGCACTCCAGCCTGGGTAACAAGAGCGAAACTCCGACTCAAAGAAAAAAAAAAGAAATTTCAATTCTGGCCCTGAATTTTCAGGAGCTGGTGAGACAGCCACTTTTATCTCATAGGCTGAGTTGGAAGAAGGGACACCCAATTTATTCTTAAGAAATACCTTGCCAGGTACTGTGGCTCAGGCCAGTAATCGAGCATTTGGGGAAGCTGAGGCAGGCAGATATCTTGACCCCAGGAGTTTGAGACCAGCCTGGACAACATGGCAAAACCCCATCTCTGCAAAATATGTAAAATTTAGCTCAGTGTGATGGGGCTGCACTCTGGTCTCAGCTACTCGGGGTTGAGGTGGGAGGATCGCTTGAGCCCTGCAAGTCAAGGCTGCAGTGAGCCATGATTGTAGCACTGCATTCCAGTTCTGGGCAATAGAACAAGACATTGTCTCAAAAAGCAAAAAAGGCCTACATAATAAACTTACAAAAAGTGGATTTTGTGTGTGTGTACACAAACACAACCCTGCACACACATGCACTCAGGTGTTCTGGAAAAACACAGGAATCTAGAGCCAAAAGACGAGCTTTTTGTTCCAGCCCTGCCACTCACCAAGTGTCTGATGGGATTAGTTACCTGCCATGTCAGAATTTTTCTTGTGTAAAATAAGATAATAGTTGTGAAAAACTATCAAATGAGATGGCACATGAGAAAACACTTTGTTCCTTGTGAAACCTGACATAAATGTGTGCAAGTTTATATAAAGACTATCATCTGTCTATCATTTTCAAATATGGAAAAAGTGAACGCAGGAGAGGATGTTGGGATTTCTGGCAGAGATTTGCTAGCTTCCACCTGCAGAGATGGAAGTAATAGGGATTCTTAGGCCTTAGTACTAACTGCTTCTGGTTGCAGTTTGCCCCCATGGCTAAATGAAGCTTTTAGAAGAACCAGCCTGACACATGGAATGTGGAATGGTGGTGGAACGTAACCGCACACCTCCCACCAAGTAAACTCCTGGTTCAGAAGCAGCAGCCCCAGTTGAGGGCATGCATATTTGTAACTCAGCTGAGCCACCTTTCCAGAAGCAGAGGCTTTCCAAACAGGATGCCCCCCACTCTGCCCATTCTGCTTTTGGTTCAACTTGACTTCCTACCTTCAGTGAGAACATGGAGAATTCATCCTGACTGGGTCCCTGAGCAATGTTGGCATAGGAAAGAAAAATGAGGAAGGCCCTAGGTAGACTGGCCCTGTAGGAGGAAAGAATCAATGAAAGAGCACAGAAAGAAACTTGCATTTCCTTTATGACAGTTCCTTCAAATTGAGGATGAAGAGGCTGAGGTTCTGAATTGGTTGGCACAGAAACAAGTCAGTGGCTTTTCCACATCCACACATGGAGTTATATTTCTGCCCTTTCGTTGTCATTTTCTCTGATCTCCAATTAAAGATCTAAGTGGCATTTTGAAGCTTTCCTTCCTTTCTACTCTGGCCAGTGTACCATTGGTAGTCTGAAATTGGCCATAATGGCAGTATTTCTACCATGGGAACTAGCATATGGCATATCAGGGCTTTTTGTTTTGTTCTTCGATAGCCAGTAAACATATCAGCACAACACTGCCTTAAATATTCTCTGCTTCTTCCTGGTAAGGATAACCTCATCTCTGTCTCCCCACTCCCCAACTCCGTCCGGCACAGGCACATGGTGTCACTCTATTGTGCTGTTTTCCTACCGAGAAGGGGCCGTCTCAAGTGATCCCTGTGCTTCTGGTCTGGTTAAGTTCCATACTCTTTCCTAGGAGCTGTACTCACTGCATATATATCTATATTGTTTCCCACCTCAGCTGTTTTCATTTCTGCTCTCCCAGTTTTATGACAAAGCCTAGAACACTCTTTTTGCAGAGACTCACCTGTTTGAATTTCACCTTCACAGTAAGGCCCATGGATGACTATTTTCACACTGTCAGAGGGGCAGGGAGGCCTTCTGAGAAAGTGGTCTCGTGGATGGTGATGCTGGGAGTGTGAACTGTCAGCAACAGCATAGCTAGGAATGTAGTGAGCAAAGGCACCGTAAAGACGCAAGCAGAGCTCTTCAACCAATGACCCCAGGGACTTTCTCTGGGTTGCCTGGCAATGAACTGGGAACAATGGATGCTTCTTTCCCTGTGGGAGGATCAGCCAATGTTCCCAGGTGCTGGAAGTCTGGCTTTCTCAGCTGACACCCACACAGAAAATGTTTATTCTCTTTATCAAGTCCGCTTTCATGCTTTCACTATGAAAAGGAGCAGCCCAGGCTGCGTGTGGGTCCCTTTCTGGAGCACAGCCCCTCTGTGCTTCAGGCTGCCCACTTCCTGGGCTCACGGCTCCGTAGGCTGCAGAACAGGCACTGTGTATCTGCAGCCCTCTGCCCACTGCTTCCAGGTGGCACAGGCGACGCTGTGCCTGCTGACAACACAGGCAGAAGCCAAGAGTGGAATGAAATTCAGAGGAAGGTGGTGGACAGTGGAAATGAGTGGATATAAGCTTTCATAAAGGGGCTAAGATTTAACTATGAAACCATTATTCCAATCACCTTGTATCTCATCTTCTCAAATTCTGTTAATGAAAGTCACAAACCAATAGCTCTCTTTGTGATTTTCCATTTATGCCCCCTTTCTGTGGTCCATTGTTTGCCCACTATCTCTTTTTCCTCTCCGTTTAACATTAGCTATTTTTAAAGGAGCACTTTAGAACAGTTTCCTTCCTATTTTGCGCTGCGTAGTGTTGAAATATGTGGAGGCCCTACTGGCACATGCCACAGATGCCACAGTGGCACTCAGTCATGCAGGACCTAAGAGTTCAGCTTCTGGTTTCTGGTAGGCCCACATTTGTGTCATGCTACAGAACTTGTGGATCAGTCCTCCGCCTTTGTGATTAGAAACCAGACTGCGCAGGTCTAACTTTTAGATCAGAAGCTGTGCCTCAAGATGAGATCGCTATTCCTTGTTGCCCAAATTTATTATGGTTTACTATGCTATCCAAACTAATAGATCCATTTGTAAGCTCCTTCACATGATTTAATTCTTTCCAGGGCTGTTAGACCAAAGGCCTCAGACCCCTATGTGGGCCTCTCCACAGGACAGTGCACCACATGGCTGACTTTCTTCCAAAAGAATGAGCAAGTGAGAGGGCACAAGAAAGAAGCCATAACCTTGTGTAACTGAATCTCAAAGATAACACACCATCATTTTTGACATATTCGATTGGTTAGCAGCAAGTTCCTAGGCACAGCACACAGGAAAGGAGATAATGCCAGAGGATGAACCCTCAGAGGCAGGGATCATCCTAGAGAGTATCTGCTACACTGGGTAAATCACAACCTGTTCAAAACAAGGCAAAATGTCTTCTTAATATGACATCCTTAAAAATGGAAGTGCACCTCTGTGTTTTCTAGGGCACTTTGCTAAGTGCAAGTACAGGGTCACATGCTTAGACATCTAAAATTGTAGAAATATTTGTGTTTGAGTTTCTGATTGTTCTATCACTTGCCCATTTACTCTCTGATGCTGCTGTTCCTCAATGGAAACTACATTTCCCAGGTTTCCTTGCTCTTTAGTTTCCAGTAGAATTGGCCAATGAGTGGCACTGATGGAAGATGATGGTGGAGCCAGAGTATGTCTCTTTTTCTTTGTTTCCTGAGGCTTCTCCAGCTTCCTTGGTACTTTGACTCCAGTCCTACCACAGAGCCTTTCTCCTGTTGGTCTCAGTTCCTGCCTTACCAGACTGTGCTCTAACCGCTTGACTCCAGCATCACCTCTTCCCTTTGTTCCTAGAGGACCGAGGTGGCAACTTTCTGCTGCAGCTTATCTGTGGGTTGCCCTCACCCCCTCTCTTGGGTCTCTCCACTTTTTCATCACCTGTTTATCAAATTACATCTATTTAATTTCTTCTATATGAAATCTCTAGAATGGACTGTACTTATTCCCTGACAAACAGTAGGATTGAATGAGCATTGCCCTTTCCTGAGCAACTCATGTGCAGAGAGCACAGTTTGGAGTTTTTGCCAGTCCTAAATATCTGACCTGGTCCTCATGCTGCTGGAAATCTAGAGGATGGTCACTTCTTCGGGATGTACCTTCACCACTCTGGGCTCAAGATTCTTGTTTTGTTAAGTGGGAGGATTTGTGATAAATGTGGTCCCTTAATCTCTGAATATTGGGAACTCTAGAATTTTTCCATAAGGAATATTTAGGAACGGCATTCTGATTGGGAAGTGGTAGAAGCATTTTATGAGACTAAAGTGGGAAGAAGGGAAAGAAACAGGTAACATAAAACCCTGAATTGTCCGTATTCCTGAAGGTGAGCGTGACTGGTAGAAACTATGAGGAAAGCTGACATGATAAAATAAGTGCATTATCTTACAAATCACTTCGTGTTTTTCAGTCCACTCCCTGCTTTCTGCCTCACCTCCAAATCAAGGAAGAGTGCTTAGGAATAAAGTTCTAGCCTGGGCAACATGGCAAAATGCTGCCTCTTCAAAAAATAAAAAAATTAGCCGGACATGTTGGCGTTCACCTGTGGTCACAGCTTCTCTGAAGGCTAAGGTGGGAGGATTACTTGAGCCCTAGGGGCAGAGGCTGCAATGAGCAGAGATTGTGCCACTGCAATCCAGTCTGGGCAACAGGAGTGAGACTCTGTCCCGGAGGGAAAAAAAAAGAATAAATGTAACAATTAGGAAAATAAAATGTTTTGGTACTTGGGATAACAATAAATTACAAAGTAGAATTCGTTACTAGAAAAATCTCAGGAAGAGAGGCAGCTATCTTAGCTGTAAGAATATGGACAATTAACATCTCTGGGTATGATTTTATCTGTAGAGTACATACTTTGAGCTAGGTACTATTCACTGAATTGTTCACTGTATCTTTTCCACAGAGCAGAATGCAGCACACAAGTGTCCCTGGGATAGAAAACCCGACTGATCAGAGACCACTGCTTGATGAAAATGTCTTTGATTACAACTCTATGCTCAGAGATTATCTTCTAATTTGTATCTTTGTCTCCACACCAGAAAGTAATGCAATAAAAACCTCTCTGATACTTATTTTTAATATAAAATGTCTTTTTAACTATAATTTGATAAAGTAATGGTATGGTTTATAAACCTCTCTCATGTGAATTTAGGTTTGAATAATCAAAGTAATAGATATTCTTACCATGTGCCAGACATTGTTATAAGCACTTCAAAAATATTATCTAATCCTAGCAACAATCCTACTAAAGTAGATAATAGTTGCCATCGTGAAGTTTTTTGTCAAATTACATAACTCCTCAAATCTTGGTGGATAATAACAAGAAGGGTTATTTCGGGCTCAAATTCTATTTCTGTTTGGATCAGCAATGGCTCTGAAACATATCTTCTTCATAGCGAGATCCAGGCTGAGAGAAATTGACATAAAGGGATCTCATTATGTTCAAAGATTCTGCAGGAAAGTGGACACATTCTATTTCTACTCATATTTTATTGAGTAGAAGCAAAGCAGCTCACATGTAAAGACTGATATGCAGGTAGTAGGAAAGAGTGCTCCTGATATGGAGAGGAATATTATAAACCCATGTCAATGGGCAAGAATATATAATACTGCCAAAAAGGGAGGCAAAAACATGGGAGCAATAGTACAATTTACTGCAATATTCCTGTCCAAATTTTAGGCTTGAGAAAATTGAGAAATAGAGTGTAGTAAGTTTCTAAAGTCACCTAGTAAATGATGGAGAATTGAGATTGGAACGGAGTAGTACATCTCCAGAACTCTGATACCCAGACTCCAAGATGTCTCAAAAAATTCTCATCTGGTATTCCCAGGCTTGTGTATCTTCCTCCCAAATTGGATAGCTCTGACCTATGAAACTAACAAATATTGTGACTCCCAAAGTTAAGTCATAAATGGTATTCTGACTTCTGTTTCACTCTCTCTTAAATCACTCTGGGGAAAGCCAGCTGCCAGATACTGAGCCCTCGTGTAGCCCTACAAAGGGTGTCATGTGCCAAGGAACGGAAGTCTTCTGTTGATAGCCAAAACCAGCTTGCTAGCCAGGTGAGCCATCTGGGAATCTTCCAGCCCCATTCTTCAGTGTAAGTCTACAGATGACTAAAGTCCCAGCAAATATCTTGACTCCAACCTCCTGAGAGAGCCCATGTTGAAACTACTGTTCCCTCATCCTCAAATTCCTGAATCATGGAAGGTGTGTGACATAATGAATATTTACTATTATTTTAAACCACTAAATTTTGGGACAATTTATTATGTAGCAATAGAGTCTACACAAAAATCGATCTGTTAAAACATTATGCAAAGCTGCCACTGCATATAAATTAGTGATTATGTGTAAATCGAAAACCCTTACATTTATAAACAAATTCATATAATATAAGGGGAATGGAGAGGGAAAAGCAAAGAGATATTAAGGAAACAATAAGTATCACAGATAAAGAGAGAAACTGAAAAACTGAAGATACACAAAAAGGCCAAATGCAATGTATTCATTAAACCACCTCTTCCAAAGACAGTGGCCAGAAGTTTGAATAAACAGATGCTGAAAAGATTGTTTTAAAAAATGATTATAGGTTCAATGTTAAACGGAGTAGAAAAGTTGTTTACATCGCCGAACCTAATGTAGCCTATAGTAAACTTTATGAATATGTTGCAATAGTCTAATTGTCATAAATTAAACAGGTATATTATACTTAAAACATGTTCCTCTGTTACTAATTCTATGCACATCTGCCTCCTAAGGCCAAGGAAACTGAGAGGCATAAGAAGGAAGATGACAAATCGTTTCTCAGAAAGAAACATTTAATACGGACTTATAAAGAGAAGCCACGTCTCCTGACAAGTTGGTGAATCTGCCCATTCACCCTTACCCCATCCCAGCCCCCAGGACTGAAAGACCATAGAGAATTTGCCTAAGGGCAGGATTATAGTAAGTATGTATTTACAATAATAAGATTGTTTTGACCTTAAAGGCAGGATTTATGCCTGCCACCATCACCAGCTGATTTTTGTGTTTTTAGTAAAGACAGGGTTTCACCATGTTGGCCAGGCTGGTCTCAAACTCCTGACCTCAGGTAATGTGCCTGCCATAGCCTCTCAAAGTGCTGGGATTACAGGCGAGGCACTGCACCAGCCCAGCCAGTATCCAGTTAATTTTGTTTTCCAACATTACTTAACATTTATCTTCTTCCCTCCCTTAAGTGTTACTATGTTATTATTTTTTTTCCACCACTATGGAGAATCTATATCACATTTTGGTATTTTGTATTTTTTCTTTTTACCACGTATGAAAAGCATTCTAACATTGTGAAATACTAAGAGAATTTTGTTTTTTTGCAAAAAGTTGCAAAAAAAAAATTGCAAAAATAGTATGTAATGTTTCTTATTGTCAACAACTGTTTTCCTCTAATGTTAATGTTTTACCTAGCCATATATAATGATTGGAAATAGGAAAGAGACATTGGTAAAATACTAACTAAACATCAGACCTATTCAAATATCACACATTTTCCCACAAATTTTTTTTTTTCTGTCTCAGGATCCTATTCTGCATCTCACACTGAATTTAGTCACTACTTGTTTCTTAGTCTCTTTAAGTCTGTATTAGTTCTGCAATCTGTTCTTATATTTATGATGTTCACACTTTTGAAGAGTGCTGATCAGTTATTTTGAAGAATATCCCTTGACGAATTTCTTTTTGTTTCGGTGGAGTGAATTATGTGTTTTTCACAGGAAATACTTCCAAAACGATAAAATGTCCTTCTCAATGCAATGAGTTCATAATACACATATGTCTCTTTACTTTGTGATGTTTACCTTTGTTAGTTAAGGTGGCGATTGCCAGGATTCTTCATTGTAAAGTTCATTGTATTATGTATATATTCTTTTGTACTTTGCCTTATCACTTAAATGTATATCCTGGAATTCACTGTATACTACTTTATGGAAATCAAAGTCATTTTTGTAGCTGCATATTACTGTACTGTGTAAATATGTCCTACTTTTATCCAACAGTTCTCTTATGTAGGAACATTAAAGTTGTTTGAAATATTTTACAATTCCACACATTGCTGCGATGAATAACTGTGGGCGTGCAACCCAGAGCTTTAATTATTGACTTCAGTAAAAAGAAAAACAATGCTGAAGATATCATATCTATCTAGTATAAAGCACCTCTTTTCCAACTTCTCTCTTTAATAAAGCAATCATGGTACATCATGCTAAAATACAGAAATTCAGAATTAAACTCTTTTAAGTGCAGAACTGTGAGGTAAAAGCAACCATGTTGAATCTTCTTTTTTCTTTCAATTTTTCTCACATTTTTCTTCTTAGTTTATAATCGTATTTGTAGTTTCGTATTACTGCTATTGTGTCCAAAATAAAAGAGCTCTGAGTGTCCCCCATTTTCTACCACTCAGGGTTCCTTAGGGGCTTTAAAAATGTCAATGATAAAAAATTACTTTCTTAGCTCGTTAAAGAACAACATACTTGATAATATTTTATGACTATAAAAGTTCAGGAAATTGCATAAGAAAGACATACTACCACTCTGGACATGTGAACAGTCACAGTAGAAATGTCTTTTACATAAGTGCCTAACACAAAGATTTGTGTATATAACTAAAACTACATGCAGTGAGAACTGGTGTTTTATATTCGATTCTAACTCACTGAAAAGAGAAATATTTTGGCCTTGACAACTAAATTGATTTCACAACTTTACATGTTTGTTCGGATCTGCAGCTTGAGAAAACACTGCTTTATAATAGAGTACTGTACAGGCTTTCAAGTAAGACCAATGTGCACTGGAATCTGGAATATTTTTTTTTTTTTTTTTTTTTTTTCCAGACAGAGTCTTACTCTGTTGCCCAGGCTGGAGTGGAATGGTGCGATCTCGGCTCACTGCAACCTCTGCCTTCTGGATTCAAGCAATCCTCCTGCATCAGCCCCTCGAGTAGCTGGGACTACAGGCGCACTCCGCGATGCCCGGCTAATTTTTTGTATTTTTGTCGAGACAGGGTTTCACCGTGTTGCTGATGCTGGTTTCGAACTCCTGAGCTCAGGCAATCCGCCCGCTTCCACCTAGCCCGACCTGGACAGTACCTCTTACCAACAGTTTTCTCAAGAGAATTTTTTAACCTCTGCATGCCCGTTTTCTCCTTTCCAGAGTGGAGATAACTATCCGTAACAGAGGATTGTTACATTGACTAAAGAATACAGGTAGCTCAGGCTGCAGCCCAGTTGTGTGTGTGGCGGCGGGGGCGGGGGATGCAGACAGTACATAGTTCAGTAGCCAAAAAATGAAAAATATAACTATGATTAAAAATGATAAAAAGGGATAAGGAATGTAGATGCTGTACTAGAGGATTACAGTAGTCTACAGGCAGCCATGGTTCAGTCTACCTTCTGTGGTTGGAAAATAATGACTCATTGAATGAGGAACTTTACTCTCCTTTCTCCTTCTTGAGCCCACTACAGTGGCCAGCCAGGTGTGAATCAAAGAAAGTCAAGATCGAACTGATGCTGCCCCCATCTTCCCAATATATGGTCATATTCAACATGGATATCTTTTCTTCTTCTTTTTTTCTTGTTTTAGACAGAGTCTTGCACTGTTACCAGGCAAAGAAATAAGAATTATCTGGGCGTGGTGGCAGACGCCTGTAATCCCAGATACTTGGGAGGCTGAGACAGGAGAATCGCTTGAATCCGGGAGGCGGAGTTTGCAGTGAGCCGAAATTGCGCCGCCCCCAGCCTGGGCGACACGAACGAAACTCTGTCTCAAAAATAAATAAATAAAGACACTCATGAACATGTGTGTGTGTGCACACGGCTAGTTTTGAGATAGCCAGCCCTCTGATCAAGAAGAAAGTGAGGTCTTTTGGTATTTCTCTTATTTCATCACAGAAAAGTGTCAAATAGGTGATTGATTTCGTTAGCGACCAATCCTCAATCTTTTTTACCCAGGCTCGACGGCACTGGCACGTTCACTGCAACCTCCGCCTCCCAGGTTCAAGCGATTCTCCTGCCTTAGCCTCCCGAGTAGCTGGGATCACGAGCGCTTACCACAACACTAGGCTTTTTTTATTTTCTATTTTCTTTTTTAGTAGATACGACGTTTCCCTATGTTAGTCAGGATGGTATCGAATTCCTGACCTCCAATAATCCGTTTGCCTTAGCCTCCCAGAGTGTTGGAACTGCATGCGTGAGCCACCGCACCCAGCCCTTGCATGTGGAGGCGGAGGCGGTGGCTTCAGTAAGCGGAGATCGAGTCATTGCACTACAGCCTAGGCAGAGTGAGGCTCCCTCTCAAAATAAAAAAAAAAAAGAAAGAAAAAAAAGAAAGAAAACACACCACACCCTAGGGGCCAAGCAATGAAAGCTCAAACACCACAGAATTCGGAAAGTTTTCTCCTAGTCATAAGGAATACACTGGATAAAGGGAGGCAGGTGAAAGCGAGCTTCAGTATGTTGTGTAAGTTTCAGTCATTTACAGTGTTTTTGTTGTCATTAAAAAGGTACAGTTCTACTATTGTGTAATCAAATGCCCACAAAATCAGTTTCCCTAGTCTGCTTTAGACATTTATCCATCTCCATTTTTATTTCAATAAATAGCAAAGGGCACATTTATTTTTGCACTGTTGTGCACTATTAGATTGAAAATATTTACACATTAAGATATTAAACACATTGATAATTTACATCACTTTTATACCAAATTCAACATTAAACAGTACTATTTTGATACATTTCACTCATGTTATATAAAAATTCTATATTCTCTTTATTTCAGCAGCAGAATTTGTGTCTGGAGATTTTAAGCAATGAAATTAAAATTCAAAGTGATATCCAATGCCATGTTACAATCAGAGACATCCACAGAATAGTATCATCACCTTGCAGCAGCAGGCAAAAGTTTATTTAGTTTCCATGATAAGTGCCTTGCAGTTCCACCCATACTGTTCCAGTCATGACCGTTTTTAAGAAATAATTCTTTTGATGATGCTTTCATTGCCAACGTACGGACACATTTCTTGGTTGGGCAACTACCTAAAGAAATTCACTCTTTCACACATTGTTCAAAGGATGTTTTCAGAGGGCAATCATTTATAGTAGCTTAGATAGACTCTCAAAGCTCTGCTTCTGAGATCGATATTTTAACTTATCATTTAATTAGTACATGTCACTTATTTTTCTTTCTATGGCACTCTGGGAAACACTGGGTCCCAGTCTTCAGGGGAATTGAAACCATGCATGGTGAGTGCACTAGTCATTCCTCAACTATTCAGTAATAATAGGGGCTGGGTTTCTCTAATAATGGGAGAAGATCTTTTTCAATCTACTCTTCTTATTTATTTTCCCTTATCATTAACGCTTGAATTTCAGCTCTAAAATACTTTATTGCAATTTGGTTCTGAAGCATATGCCGAAAGCATTCAGCAAGGCTGCAGACAAATTCTTTAAAGTGCACCACCACTTCCAGTGACTTTATGAACATCACATTTAAAAATTAATCATATTTCATCTCTGTACCCTGAGTATATTTTGGACTTCCCTTCGTTCCCAAATACCCCGAATTCAAGGTATCTCAATCCATGGAGCAGTTGTCCAGAGGAAGAGAGAAGCAACAGCCCCGCCCCCAACCCTTGGGAGCAGAAAGGGAAAGAATTATCCAAAGGAATTGTTTAAAAACTCAGGTGTATCGGACAGAAGTAAAACCATGGCTGCATAGAATGATGTCCCAGGGGTCCAAAACTTAATCCCATATGGGCAATAATTTGTTTGGCATTAAACTAAATCAGTTTGATGAACTCAAATGCCCTCGGCTCAATAGGCAGGACTCTCCGAGGAGCCTGTGTTACTTCCCTCACTTAAGTGCAGATTTGTAATAAAAATCTTAATGCCAGTGGCATGCTTTTTGGACATATAAGAAGCTAACCACTTGGAGAATCATATTTGAGAGGTCAGAAAACTCCACAGTTAAAGATCGGTTTATAATTTACGAAGAAAATAGAAAGTTTTGTTTCTCTGAGTTGAAATTTGCCAAGCACGGTGGGAAATATTGCAAGTTTTTGGCACAAGGCTTTGTGCTTTCCTCATAATTTGAGATCTGCGTGAAACCTGAGGCTTCGGGGATCATTATCTGAGAAAAATCCGGCAGTTCGGTGTAGACAATTTTTATATTTTTGGCTTTTTTTGAGGTGTAACAAACACAACTCAGGATCCGAGAGGACACTCTGCGGCTGCCAGCGAGGCGGGCTGGACAGCGCACCAATCACGGCGCAGCTCCGCCCTATATAAACGGGCGGGCGCAGCGCCGCGGCCCGAGTCCCGGCCAGTGCCTCTGCTTCCGGCTCGAATTGCTCTCCCTCACGCCTGCCTTCAACATGTCTGAGACTGCGCCTGCCGCGCCTGCTGCTCCGGCCCCTGCCGAGAAGACACCCGTCAAGAAAAAGGCCCGCAAGTCCGCAGGTGCGGCTAAGCGCAAAGCTTCTGGGCCCCCGGTGTCCGAGCTCATTACCAAGGCTGTCGCCGCCTCCAAGGAGCGCAGCGGCGTGTCTTTGGCCGCTCTCAAGAAAGCGCTGGCAGCAGCTGGCTATGACGTGGAGAAGAACAACAGCCGCATCAAGCTAGGTCTCAAGAGCCTGGTGAGCAAGGGCACCCTGGTACAGACCAAGGGCACCGGCGCTTCGGGTTCCTTCAAACTCAACAAGAAGGCGGCTTCTGGGGAAGCCAAGCCTAAGGCTAGAAAGGCAGGGGCGGCCAAGGCCAAAAAGCCCACAGGAGCGGCGAAGAAGCCTAAGAAGGCGACGGGGGCAGCCACCCCTAAGAAGAGCGCCAAGAAGACCCCAAAGAAGGCGAAGAAGCCGGCTGCAGCTGCTGGAGCCAAAAAAGCGAAAAGCCCGAAAAAGGCGAAAGCAGCCAAGCCAAAAAAGGCGCCTAAGAGCCCAGCGAAGGCCAAAGCAGTGAAACCCAAGGCGGCTAAACCAAAGACCGCCAAGCCCAAGGCAGCCAAGCCAAAGAAGGCGGCAGCCAAGAAAAAGTAAGAAGTTACTTTGGCCAACTGCTTAGAAGATCAACACAACCCAAAGGCTCTTTTCAGAGCCACCCACCCATCTCAGTAAAAGAGCTGTTGCACTCCTAGGGGGCGTGGCTGGGAGAAAGACGACGCCAAGGAGGGGCGGGTCTCCCGGGAAGATAGCCGGGAGAGAGGATTTAAAGTCTTTCAGTATGCTAGGTCTGTAGCATTCTGTCGTCCAAGCTCGAGTGTGGTGGCGTCATCGCGTTATTGCGCTCTCGGGTTCTCGAGTGCATGCCATCTCGGCATCGCTAGCAGGACGTGGCCGGTAGATAATACCATGGGTAAAAAAAGTCAGGGTTTTTCGGGCTTGTTAACTGGGTCTCCAGCGCTCCGAAAAATGAATAGAACACGTACTACTACTACGTATTACACTCCCTGCAGAAGCGTATGTCTCGGGACACAATTGTGTAGTACAGACACAATTGCCTAAACGCTGTATGTCAACTGCTTGGGGAGACCACTGTAACAGAAAGATAAGAAGCTGTCACTACAGAAAAGATTTGTTCCTTAATGTGGTGCTTGTTTAAACGGCTTGCTGCCAGGCTTCGGGGGACGTCCCAATTAGCAAGTATTCTGTATGCAACGACTCCAATAATTTGTTACAGGAGTGAGGGAAAGAATGTGAGCTCTCCTAATCTATTGAGTAGTTTCAGTGTAAGCGCTGACACAATGATACATTCAAAAAAAAAAAACTCTCCAAAACAACTGCTCCACGCGAAGCGCACGGCTGTCTTGACTGAAGAGGTCTATTTATAGTAGCCTCGGGTAGTCTAGTATAGGCCTTCTGATTGGGTAAAAGTAAAGTAACGAAATAGCCAATGAAAACGTAGAACTTTAAGGGTAGTTTATATTGGCATTTGTGACGACACACTTAAATTAATCCAATCATAAACGAAATCTGATTAACCTCATTTGAATACCGCATCTATAAATGAATGGGGCCTCAGTGGGAACGATTATTTTTCCAGGTGTCTGCAATAGTATTGCAACTAATGCTGCAATGCCTGAACCTACCAAGTCCGCTCCCGCCCCGAAAAAGGGCTCCAAGAAGGCGGTGACCAAGGCGCAGAAGAAGGACGGCAAGAAGCGCAAGCGCAGCCGCAAGGAGAGCTACTCCGTTTACGTGTACAAGGTGCTGAAGCAGGTCCACCCCGACACCGGCATCTCCTCCAAGGCCATGGGCATCATGAACTCCTTCGTCAACGACATCTTCGAGCGCATCGCGGGTGAGGCTTCCCGCCTGGCGCATTACAACAAGCGCTCGACCATCACCTCCAGGGAGATCCAGACGGCCGTGCGCCTGCTGCTGCCCGGGGAGCTGGCCAAGCACGCGGTGTCCGAGGGCACTAAGGCCGTCACCAAGTACACCAGCTCCAAGTAACTTTGCCAAGTAAGCCTCTTAACACCTAACCCCAAAGGCTCTTTTAAGAGCCACGCATGTTTTCAATAAATGAGTTGTAATCCTTTCATTTCAAAAGGGGCTTCTTCGATTTTTCAGCACCATATTTCCAATGGCACTGCAGAGGAAATAGATACTATGGGGAATAACGATAGCTACTAGAAATGTTCACTGTGAGCACGCAGTAGATCATTAGCTCATTAGTATGACACAACACTAGCATAAACTGACAGTATCGTAAATGTACAGCCCTTTCGTTTCCGTGTGGAGATTTCCAAGTTGATCGTGATGTTGATCCGAGACTCGGTGTGGTGACAGACCGCCCTGAACACAAAAGAGCACGCTCTGACAACTTCTGTTTGGAGCTTTCTCCACCACCACCCATTTTCTTGTAAAATTTTTACCATGCAGATACGTAATAACTGCAAGTAAAGGCTGAAGACAATGTGAGCTGAACACGGAACTATTAAAAAGATTTCTTGTTTGCTTGCTTTGCAGTTGGGGCAGTTTCTGTGTCAGCTTAGGCTAGCCGGGGAGGGAAAGACGTATCCTAGGTGCTGAGGTGCGGGGGGGCGGGGGTGGTGGGAAGAGAGAGGTAGCTTCTGAGACACTTTAAAATTCTTTTGGGAACTGTCTTTTTCAGAAAGCCATTTAATTTATAGTCTTCTTTTGGCAGCTGTTAGCTTAAAAGTCCTCTAGGTAAGGGGAGAAACCAAAGAGTCAATCATTAAAGTGTCTGACTGCAGATAGGCAAGTTACCGCAGGACTGAGGCCCCATTTGCAGTACAATTTACCCTTTTTTAGATGCCCCTGAGTACCGAGGACTGGATAAGGTAGAAGGGGAAAGAAAACCCCTTTCTGGAAGGATGTAGCTTCTCCTGCACAAGGTAGGATGATGACAAAAGGTTTTCACTGCTTTGGAAATGGATGATTGTGGGAGGAAAAGGATCTCGGAAAGAGAGGGGAGGGAACTGGGAGGGAGTGGCTAGAAGGAAAGGAACAATACTTCTGACAAGAAAATTGTGAGATGGATGAAGCTAGGTTTGGAGTCAAGTGGTGGCTGAGATAGAGTGGTGGTAGGTGATCATTGTGTACAAGGGGAATGAATTTAGAATTTCTAATGACCTCATGCCCTCCTAAACATGAAATCATGGATTACGAGATAACGTTTTCCATAGTGTGTGGCAAGCTTGGTACCTGGACGGATAACTTAAAAGCCTGAATAATATTTTCCGAATTCTTAAAAACAACGAAGAGAGTCTAAGAAAGTAAAGAATTCAGGGACTTGGCGCGTGTTAAACCCCAAGCACTACAGCTGGCTTTTACCCAAGCCTTAACTTTCATTTTTAGGGTGTTATATGGAAACTGATCACGGTGTAGAGCCTGAAAAGAAATCTTTTTTAGGTGAATGTGAGAAATTAGACCAAAATCTGTCACCTTGGGGTAGGAGGGTGAACTGGAAATAAACACACAAATCCATCACAGGTGAATGCAAATCAAAGTCAGCTCTGAAGCTGGGTTCTAAGCAGTATAGATTCCACTACTAAGGCTTGGACTATAAGCCATTCTTGATGCTTACTTGTTCCTGGTATTCCTACCATAGAGATTCAAACATACAAGCTGAGAATTTAATTTAGACACATTCCAGACTGGTTTTGTGCCCCTGAGCACCTGGTAGAAACAAACACAAGTCATCTATGGAAAACAAGCTTCATTTTACACCTCAACAAATTGCCACAACTAAAATATTCCCCCAAAAATGCACAAGCAGCTTCACAATGAAAATTAACCAAACACCTTGAAACCAGAAGTATGACCAATGAAAACAAGAGCAACAAACAATGGAAGCTGGGCGTGGTGGCTCATGCCTGTAATCCCAGTACTTTTGGAGGCCAAGGCTGGAGGATTTTGAGACCAAAAGTTTGAGATCTTGTCTCTGAAAAAAAAAAAAAAAAGGCAACAATGGAAATAAAAGGAGTAAAAAAAGAGGATTAACAAGATACAGACTTGAAATGACTAACTTTAGTGTGAAAAAAGGAGAGTCTTAAGGAAATACAAAAGTGACCACACAGATTTGAAAAAAGAACTTTTTAAACTTTATTTGAGACAGTGTCTTGCTGAATAACCCAGGCTGGAATGCAGTTATGTGATCATAGCTCACTGCACTTGGAATTCCTCAGCTCAAGGAATCCTGCCTCAGACTCCCAAGTAGCTGGGACTACCACTGTGAGCCACTTCGTCTGGCACATTATTCATTATAAGCAAGTCTGCCTTTGCATCACCAAAACAAAACAAAAAAGCCCCTTAGCCCTGGGGCTTGAGGCAGGGAAAGGGACGGGGTAGACAAAAGTCCATGGAGGTGCTCAGTCCCAGGACAAGTGACAAAAAAAGGACAGGCCTGGAGTTATTAGGATGGGCCTTTGTACTGAGCAGCAATGTGTACCCTATTTGGGCTATCAGAGTACCCTGGTCAGGAGCCTCCACATCCCCTTCCCTCTCATCTCCATGATTCTTTACATCCTAGCTTCTTCTAAGGCGGGGAGAGAAAGGGGGATATTTATATACATCTAATATATATGTTATAATTAATATATTAAATATATTTAAATTTAATAATTTGTTTAAATATATTAAATATATAGATTTTAATATGTAGATATATATAGGTATTTCAAATCTATATATTATATATAGTATATAATATATATTATATAGTTATCTGTAACTATATATTATATATTAATATTTAAAATCCATATATATATATATAGCCACTAGGCTGCAACCCTGGTCCCTACACCTAATGTCTTCCTGCTCCCCCTCCAGCCAAATACACAGCCCACAAAAAGACCCAGCAGGCCCATTGCCCAGCAGCATCCCGTGGAAGGCTCTGGTGGTATCCTTGGGCCTCAGGAGAATCGGTACCTGGATTTTCCAGGGTTTATCATCAGCATGTTCTCTCCCTGCTGTTCCAACCATGCCCTTCTGCCATCTTCTGAGAGAAGGGAATCAAAGGATCTAAAACTGGGGATTAGGGGAAGATTATAGCCTCTCCTCACTCCCCTCTCCCTACATACTTTACTCCCCAGTCCACAGAGATGCTGCTCATACCAGGAAAGACTAGGAAATATGATTTTTATTTGATTTCCCTCTGAAGTTTTCATCCCTGGGAAAATGAAAAAAAAAAAAAATCAACCATTAAAAAACAAAAAATCAGAAACCCCCCAACTAATTCACAGAGGGCGATGTCTTATCCTCTCCCCTTGGATTTTTTGTTTTTGGAATTTTTTTTTTTTTAGGTTGCCTTATTGTGGAGTGGGATTCTGAAATACTCAAATGTCTATTTTCCTCATTGGAGCCAAACCAAAAAACTCCAACCTTCTATGGATGTGCCTGGTCTTGGACCCACTAGAATCTTTCTCTGGGTTGCTGCATGTACACAGTCTCTGTCCTGGAGGCTAAAGTTGGAGGTAGCTTCGATCAGAACCATGCCCAAGATTTCCCTGCTGTTGCATTGTTTGAAGCTGACATCCTGTGTCTGTACACAGCTGCCACTGTTGTGTCCTTGCTCTGCTTGCTATTGCCTCATGCCAGGCCCTGTCCTGCCATGACACCCTTCATCCTATCCATGAAATCCCAAGGCCAAGTTTGCTTCAAACTTTGCAGGAACAGACTTGGCCTGTATCTGGAACATATTGTTCTCAGCTTGAACATCTCCCCTACCTACCACAGAAGGAAAAGGTGAACACCTACAGCTGAGCCTTGGAAATGTTTCCTGTGTTGACCTGAAAGATCTTCTGAGACCTCAAGGAGACTGCCTCTATTAAAAAGTGGAGAAAGTTGCCATTTTCCTCCTAGGGTCTGGTGGAGTCTCCCCATCTTGCATCCCCATTCTGTAAACCATTTATCCCTGCCCACCCTCCAATTGACTCCAACTGATAAGAAGGGATGAAAAGGAACTGAGGGCTGTGGGGAACCCTGCCAGCTAGTGAAGCCCTGTGGCAGGAAAGTATATGTGGACATAGAGTATATCTGACTTTTCTTCAGCCACTAAATGGGTTGGGCTATGAATGACAGACAATGGAATGGCTGGAGTCTGCTGCCATCAGAAGCTAGGGAGGAAGATGAAGGACTGAACCACACAGACTGGAATACGTGTCGGGTACAGTCATAACTCTGTGTTCACTCTTGGTGGGATGTAGGTAACACAGAGGAGTTTGTGGTCTTGTTGCTCACTTATTGCAATGCCTTTTACCCTCCTTTTCAACTGGTTCCTCCACTGAGTCCAAAGGCTGGCAATAGGAGACAGTATCCCAGGCTAACAAGGGCTTACCTGTTACCTTAGGGACCTCATTGCTTTTAGCCTGTGCCCTTCCCTGCCATTGCCCTCCCAGTGGTTGGTATGTGGGAAACCCATTTCCGTTCCTGTGACCCATGTCTTGAACCAGGCATAAGCATCTGGTCTTTGTGAGGACAGTGGAATCTGAGGCCTTTCCCTGCCCCGTCTGGTACCTGCTCCACATTGTACCAGATATTGGACTCCTTGATGCCCTCCTCCTTCCCTTTATTCCTCCCTTCCTTCAGGTCTTGCAGCCATGTACTGTATCCAGCATCACAGAAACCTCAACGTTTCTCCTCTGCTCTGTCTGGGGCATAAAGAAGCCTTGCGGTGTGGTGAAAGGCTCTTCTTATCAGGAGTACACTCACAGGCCAGGGGGCTGCCATCTTCTTCACAGACATTCCCAAAAGTGAAACCCCTTTAGGCCAGAAAGGTAAGGACTTCATCTCAACATAGATTGGTGGTTGGCGCCAGCGGAGGGAGACACTTCTGGTTTTTTTTTTTTTTTTTTTTTTAGAAATGGCGTTTCACTGCCACCCAGGCTAGAGTACAATGGTGTGATTTTGGCTCACTGTAACCTCCGCCTCCCGGGTTCATGCCATTCTTTTGCCTCAGCCTCCCCAAGAAGCTGAGACCTGAGACTACAGGCATGTGCCACCATGCCTGGCTAATTTTTGTATTTTTAGTCGAGACAGGGTTTCGCCATCTTGGCCAGGTTGGTCTCGAACTCCTGACCTCAGGTGATCTTCCAACCTTGGCCTTCCAAAGTGCTGGGATTACAGGCATGAGCCAACGTGCCCAGTCTCTTTTTCTTTTCTTTTTTTCTTTCTCTTTCTTTTCCTTTCTTTCTTTCTTTCTCTTTCTTTCTCTTTCTCTTTTTCTTTTTGTATCATGATAGGAGTTAATGTTGCAAAGAGTAGTTTACATCTTCAATTTCTGAAGGCACTTCAATTGAGGACCCACGTTTCTGTGACAAGCATGCCAGAAGTGGCAGGGGCCATCAGGGCTAAGCTACTTTATACCCAACATCCTCCCATGGGGATCCAAGACCTGAGACACAAAGCAACAGTCTGCCCCAATCCCTCTGTTCCTCATATCTCATTCAAGGTTCATCCATGTCTAACATTTGGACATTAAACATCATAAGGTCTGTATGCCTCAGTCCTGTTAAGGGGCAGGTTTCTCTTTCGCCCTGTCTTGCACCTGGAAAAAAATGCACTACCAGTTAGAGAAGGGCCATCCAGCCCTGCCCCAACCTGGACCCCTGGGGCTCAGATAGAGGTGCTAAGCCCCTATGTCAAAGTTGTTAAACATTTCTGTTTTGTTCCATCAGTCCATTTTCTGGTGCTTGACTTTACAAAAAGTAAGTAAGCTGCTTATGAGAAGGCCCTGGAAGTGAGAAGAAGGGCCAAGGAAGATGACTAAAGGGTGAGGATTGTTTTTGTTAAAAAAGCCTGGGTAGAGTAATCTGAATCACCTGGCACCGTCCTGAATGGAATCCTCCCATGCTGAAGGGTCCTTGGAGTTTCCCAACCCCCACCTTCTCACTCTTAAGGCATGTTGATCCTGAAGCTTATAACTTAGAGCCATTTCTCACTAGAGACGAAAATTTGTCATCTGGCTTTGCAGAGAAGGTTCCACCTTACGCTCATAGTACATTGTCTTTACTATGGGTTAGGGTATGATACTTGAAGGAGCGTGTGTTATAACAATATTATTGAGAGTATCTGCTTTCCAGGCTTACGTGATTAATTTATTATTCTAGTCCTGCTTTAGTCCCTCGTAATATTTGGTCATTATGCTTTTCTTTTTAATACATAAAAATTATGTAAAAATAAAAACTTGGTAAGGCAGAAAAAAAATTCGCGAACATAATTTAAAACCACTATATCTTTTTTTTTTTATGTTGGAAATACTTGAATGCAAAAAACATTTGTGCTTTAAAGACTATATAGAAATCAAATATACAATCACCTGGCTCCAATACCTTTATAAATGGTAGAACCTTTAAGAATTTTGACAATTCAGGCTACAATGGACCACTATCCACAGAGACAAAGCCCAATAAAATCCCCTCATAATATCCTGATGGTCTTTTCCCTGATATTGTAAAGGATCAAGTAGTGTCTCTACAGTGTATATATAAAACATTAGACCAGCACATAGCTGGTACTTTTCTAAAAATATGCACTGAACGTATTAATTCATCTGAGAAATCTTAAACTGCGGGCTGTAAAGCAATTCTCTAGTGCATGTTTGTTGTTATAATGTTGAACAAACAGATTTGGCCTTTTAAAACAAAACAATAAATTAAAGCAGAAAAATTTGTACTTATAATAAAAATTTTAAATCCTAGAAAATACTGTAGAGTATGAAAATATTTTAAAAAATGGAAAAAACAAATTGATGAAATTTAAATTGTAGAAGAAGTTAAAGCGGTTAATAATTTATAAAACTTAAGATTAATGATTAGTAGTAAAAAAAAAAAGTTTCACTTATAAGATTAATAGATTAAGACTCAGCAGAGAGAGGTATAAAGAAAAGAAACCAAATAGAAGAAATTAGACATGAAGGATTTGTAAGGAATTTCATGAAGTGTGCAACATTCCATAGGCACTGGCTTGGGCACTGCAGATACATAGAGAAAAAAGGTGGTCCTTGATCTCCTGGAGCCATCAGTTAAGGAGACTTACAACTAATTGTTTCATTTTCCTTTGTCTTTCACAAAGCCTAAAAAAGTGTTTCTTATACTTTGGAAATATTCAAGAAAGTCAATTAACTTGGGCTCATACAGTAACTACCAAATTCATTGCATCAAGGCAAACATATTCTATTTTTTTAGTAATAAATAAAACATTTTGTTTTAAAACTTAAAAATATTATTTATACATACAAACGATATTTTATAAATATTACAGCCAAGTTATAATTACTTTTTAGGAGATTGGGGACAGCATGAGAAAAATGGTGAGAGAAATTCAAAAGGACTCAGAAAAGGAATGGAAGAAGCAGACTGCTACAAAAAAAGGGAGAAAAAGAGCTTGGATACCTAACAGAAACTTATAGCAGAATGTGGTAGAAAGGCAGAGAGAAAACAAAAAGGGGCCATGAGTACACAGACCTTGTCATATATTTGGTGTCTCAGTTGTGTGTAATACCTGTCAAATAATAACTCAAATATTTCTTACACTTCATGGGTTTTGGATTAAGTAGATTGATGAAAATGTCACCACACCTGAGAGGTTTCTCTGCCCAGCAAATGTAAAATGACATCCTTCTATGTTCATTCTTAACTTGCTGTTTGCATTCCTTTTCACTATATTTAGCACTGACTAACTTAAATTTGTTTACTGTTGGCCTCCCCTCCTGATCCTGAAGACTGTAAGGTCCATAAAAACAGGGAGTTCACCTTTTTTTTGCTGCTGGTTTCCTAATGCCCAAGGCTGTTCCAAGAACATGGTAGACTCTCAAATAGTATTTGCCGCATGACATAATTTCTGAAGTAATTAAAGTGCACAAATATCTATAACCACAGGAAGAGAGGTCAGTAATAAGTTGTCACAAAACTGAAAGAGTCACTCAGGTTTTCTGGGTCTCACTTTCCTCATCTATACAAAGAGGATAATAATAGTAGATCACTTCTAAAAGTTATTTTAAGGATTGAGATAGCTCCTGTAAAGCTCTTAAAACAGTGATGGACCTTTAGTAAGCATTTAGCACTATTTAACAGTTATCATATTTTCCTTTTCACCAAGTTAAAATAAAAATCAGAGTGTTCAAATCTTTTCAGGTCAAAAATAAAAGGGAGAGAATTTGAGCTTTTGAACATTTGAATCCCACCCAAGAAGAATAGTGGGAGAATTTGAAACAAAGATCACATTAGTCAGTAATATTTCTTGACTAAGCATGACTTATTAGATCTTAATGCTACTAAAGTGTAGCTAGAACTGAAGCAGAGATTCCCAATAGTTCATTATACAAGCACATGTAAAAAGAATCCTCTTTGTATAGAAAATACTGGTGATGGCAAAATGGCACTTAATAACTAAACCCACCTTATTTCTTCAATCAGGGGACAGACATGAAAGCAGAAGAGAAATTAATACTTAAAATAACTGACAGTACTAATCTATCAATAGAACTTATGAAGTCTCGTCTACCTGAAAATGATTGACTATGTATATATTCTACACAAATCCAACTCATCCTTATTTGCTACACACTGGTTCATCAATCAATTACTGAGGAGAAGAAACTAAACAAGGCGTTTTCACTTGTTCATGTTAATTTTTTAAGTTTATAAAAATAAAAATAGAATTTACTTCAGTTACAGACGTAGTTACTGGGACTTCATTAGTTATCAAGGACTACCTTTGCTAGGAAAAGTCTGAATGAGAAGATGGCAGTAAGATTGTAAAAAGTTATAATTAATAAAACCTGCGTATTGTAATTCTGCATTCATTGTTGATCCAAATCTTTCTTCTAAGACCTCCCCTTTATAGACCTCTACTTACCTACCTACCTACCTACCCACCTATTTTCACTTTACTTTCCAGCAGAAAGGTCTGAGTGGGTAAGGACTCAACACTAATTTGGTTTTGGTCATGATGTTAAAAACAGGTTAGTTTATGCTAAGCTGCCATTTGAAAGCGCTTCTCTAGCATCTGAATTATTAAGGTAAACAGTATTTTGAAGCAATAACAAAACTTTTCTGATGCATTAGATCTGGAGTAGGACCTGATAATTTATACTTCTGAATTATCCAGGTGATGCTGATGTTGCTGGTCCGGAGAGCACATTTGGAGAACTTTATTTTAAAGGACGTGAAATTGCCCTAAAATGCTTATACTAAATGGCCACACAAAGCCGGATGATCGCACAGAATTTCAAACCGAAGATAAGAGGTCCTGAAAAATGGGAGCGGCCATCCTACTTCCGGTACAGCTACGCAGGCACGAAAAGGAGTCAGGACGGGTAGTGCCGCTCCACGCCGGCTCCCTCTACGGTCATCCCATCAACCCTCGCCCCAAACGCCGGCCTCCTCATAGGCTCGTCCGGCCACGCCCCTCCGTGTCCTGACTACAGAGCCACACGTTACGCCGCCGCCACGTTACGTCCATCTGGCTCCCTCATAGGGCGTCCCGTACGTTTTACGTCACTGCGGCGCGCGTCTCCAGAAGGTTGCTTCTGGGTCGCCGACAGATGGTTCCCAGTCCCCGCCGACCCGGCCCCTCTCTTCTGGAGCCACCAGACCGCCGGACACTGGAGACTTGGAACATCTGCTGAGTCCTTTACAGTGTAAGAACAGAGGACTGGCCGGGCGCAGTGGCTCACGCATGTAATCCCAGCACTTTGGGAGGCCGAGGCTAGCAGATCACGAGATCAGGAAATCGAGACCATCCTGCCTAACACGGTGAAATCCGGTCTCTACTAAAAAATGGCAAAAACTAGCTGGGCGTGGTAGCGCGCGCCTGTAGTCCCAACTACTCGGGAGA